GTTCTCTGATTGATTTATGACCTATTTATTAAAAATTACGATTGCAATACACGATGGATTGTTTATTTATCTGGAGATAGTCGACTGGATCTTTAGAGTGCGGGATCAGGGTAGATAATTTTCGATTACATCGTTTTGTTTATTGATGACAAAGGTGATTATGAGGTTTTGATCAAACAATGGAGCATATTTAAGTTTGTAAAGGAAAACTTTCTCTATTATATGATATACGTATTATCTAGTTCTATTGCGCACCGTAGAGGGTGTGGGTGTGGATCTTCCTTTTATCAACCCACGCCCACGCCATACAGAATGTTTTTACCAAAGTTTTTAATATCAACTTTATTATGTATTTAAACAGTGTTGCATCCCTCACCTCAAGGTACTCTGCATCTTGATGATCCGTCCTGACACTATACATTGTTTTGTCTATTATTGTATATCCCTTTTAATATAATTCGCCCCTCCTTCATTTGATCAATTTAAGTTACATGTTGTAATTACAATTGTTGACAGCAACTAAAATAACATAGTCTGATTTTTATTGAGATTACACGTGAAAAGAACTTCGAAATATAAGAAACTACAATATTGAAGCTGGTGTAATAATCTCAGCAAGGTATCAGAATTCAACTTTTGATGCTAAGTATTTATTTGATTTGACAACATTTCAAAATAGTATCCAATGTACCAAAGAATGTAAAANCGGTTTTCGAAAATTGACTTTTTTTTCTTTTTTTTAGAAGCAGTACGTCATAGGAAAAAGCTCAGAATTTTTAACTAAAAACTCAATCCAAAAAATTTTAAACACATATATTCTTGATCAGCTCGTCAAGCTCTATCTAACCATATATAAAAAAAAAGAAAAAAAAATCTGCTTTAATTTTGCATTTCCGGAACCTTACTTTTACTTGAAAAAGTGTGAAAAGGAGAATTATATATATTTTTGTCTGAGCTCTGCTAGAAACTCTTATTTTATGAGCTAAGATTATATATGGCAAGCAAATAAATAGAAATCAATCAAATTGCACACGTAAGTTTTAAATTAAAGAGAAAGCTTCATGATTCAATGTAATTTATCCCGACAATATTTATTATGCAATGATAAAATAAGAAAGATGTCCTCATATAATTGCTTTTAAAGACATATTTTAATATTGAATAGTTTATTGACCAATAGCTAAATGTAGTTATATAATCATATCATACGAAGTATCTTTTTTTAAATTGCGACTTTAACTAAACACTGAATAATATTTATGGAAAATATTATTAAACGAATACTTTCCAGTTTTTCTTTTTTGTACAAATGGTGAATTCTTCTTCGATCAAGTACTGTGAAAATCGAATTTAAAGGCACAAGCTTTTATTAATATTTACTTAAGAAAGAAGAGGACGAGGACACTACACACGTGCGATACATCAATAGTAAAATAAGTTTTTTTCTCAAAATTAAATGATACATTCAATAATCCGAAAATCTTCTGTGATATTTATTCGAACATATGTGAAATATATATCGTTTCGAAAGTATCCAAAATTATTCTATTCTCGAAGCAGTACTTCTAGTAAGTATTTCTATATACAAATGTAAATATGCATAAATAATCGTGATTATAAAACAAGTTAGATATCAAATTTTATCATCGACACCTAGCGACATTACTTTAAAAAAACCAACAAGTCGCTACCTATCGATGATCTTTATAAAAGGATTATCTAAGCAAAAAGAGCAAATAAAGCATCAATGCGTAATAAAATGAGTCATTCTCAAAAGGTCGGAACTGTTTTTTTGCTATGTCATGAAAAGAAAGAATTTCTTCGAGTAAAGAAAGGCGATGACGGGAACATATGGTAACCATATGAATGTTAAGTAATATGGTGCAAAGAGTTTGTTTTTTTTTTTTGAAGACGACAATTTTGCATCGTCATTGTCACTGTAATTTTGTTTTCTGTTGTTCTTATCTTTGTATATATATATCCAGTATTCTATTCTTTTTTTTTTTGCTTTAAATTTAAAAAAAGAAACAAATTGATAAAAACATTTCGCACACAAAAGTCATAACAGCAACAACTAATACTTCTGATTCAATTGTGAAATTTTACATCTGTTTTATTTGGTTCAACAATATAAATGTATGTAAAATTCATTGTAGTTAGTGAAATTCTTCATTTTTTTTCTCGTGTAAGAATTTAAAAAAATATCCTTTCTATTAATCGTTTAATTTAATTATTTTTCACAGGTTTTTATCGAAGTACTTTCACCTTTGTATTGTATATCACACAATAGATAAAGCGAAATACATTATTGATATGTTGTTCTTTCTATAGGTCTCGATTCGAGAGTGAAAGAAGGCGAGCGGGGATGACTAGCTTCTCTTACTTTTCACGCCATGACTACTAAAATCTGTCTCGCAAATTTTAGCAGACATTATTGTATTCTGCTTTCTGCGAGACAATTTCCGGACTTGTTGCTCTTCTTACTCTCTCTATAAACGTCGATAACCATAGTTCTTTCACAATACATTGAAGGATGCAAGCACTGAAATAGCGTATATATGAATAATTATTTCTTACTACTTTGTCACGATGTATGTTTTTTTTTTTTTATATCACTTCTTACTCACTTTATGATTGAAAAGAAATAAAAAGAAATTGCTAACATGGTTGGCATTTAGCCATATAGGAATAATCAAAGAATAAAATAAAAGTACGTAGAAGTGAAAAAAAACAAAAATTCTTTGATTGATTTTCGCATTTAAAAAGAACTTTGATTTTTTCATAGAGTTCAATTTTTGAAAAATCATAAATGAATGAATAATACTATGTATTAACTTTTCATTCATATCATTGCAATTTCTTTTTTTTTTTCTAACCACTTTTTTATTGATAAGAAATCTAAAGATAATAAAACATATACCTAAGCTAAAATTATACAATTACATATAATGTTTTCTTTTTTGTCATATTATAGAATCTATTATGTTAAAAAGTGAAACAAAAGTTGTACCATTTAATAAAGTACAAGGTGTAGCTTCAACGAATGTTCATGCATATTCAAATGGTGATGGTGATTTCTTTTCTGTTGAACGTCATTATCTACATGGAATATTTATGGGTTTTAAATGGCAATGTGTTGAATTTGCACGTCGATGGTTATTAATGCGTAAAAGTTGTATATTTCCACCTGTACCACATGCTGCCGATATGTGGCATGATCTCAAATTTGTTGAACGTGTTACTGATGGTAAAAAATTTCCATTAAAATTATTTCCAAATGGTTCACAACATCAACCAAAACATGATTCATTATTAATTTATGCACGTAATGAAGAATTACCATTTGGTCATGTTGCAATTATATGTGATGTTGTACCTAATTTTGTTCGTATAGCGGAACAAAATTTTATTTATCATAGTTGGTCAGATAGTTATGCACGTGAAATTCCTGTGGTTATTAAAGATGGTTGTTATTTTATTGAAGATGAGGATGACATATTTGGTTGGATTGAAATCGATGACAATGATGAATTACAACCATTAGATGAAACAAAACTTGATTCAATATTAAAACAGTATCAAGAAGCTACACCGATAGGTACATTACAACGTTGTTCAGTAACAGATAAAAGCTTTCATTCAACTAACAATTGGTTGAATGAAGATGATTCAGCAGAAAAATATTTCATTCAATTATATGGCCCAAATTTAATACGTGCTGATACAGATACATTACCTTATTATAAAGTTGATCAAAATTTAGCATTATCTATAGGTAGTACATCAAATGAATTACATGAAATGTTTATGGATGCAACAAATTATGTTATTGAAAATGATGATTTATTAAGAAATTTTTGTATACCAGAAGTTTTTTGGCCTAAACTTCGTCAGTCATGGTTACATGAAAAAGATTTAACAATGACTGGACGTTTTGATTTAGCATTTGATGGTAAACAATTAAAAACTTTTGAATATAATGCTGATAGTGCATCAGCACTATTTGAAATGGCAGTTATACAAGAGAAGTGGGCACTAGCTGCTAAACTTAATCATACATTTATGTCTGCATTTCAATTGCATCGTTTATTAGTTAAAAGTTGGCAAAAAATATGTTCACCTTTACATATAAAATATGTTCATTTATTAATTGATAATGATCAAGATGAAATTTTAACATCACTTTATATGCAAAATGTTTTAAAAGAAGCAAATATTGAATCTAAATTATGTATTTTATATGATAATTTATATTGGAAAGATTCAAAAATAATTGATAATGATGGTAATGAAGTACAATTAGTCTGGAAAACATGGATGTGGGAAACTATTTTTAGTGATTATTTACAAGCCGAACAAGATGGAAGTTTAAATAAAAAAATTAATGGTGAACATCCACGTTTATGTCAAATTGTATTAAATGATCAGATTAAAGTTATTGAACCATTATGGAAAGTAATACCAAGTAATAAAGCAATATTACCTGTCTTATGGTCAATGTTTCCTAATCATCCCCATCTATTACAGAGTGAATGGACATTAACAGATGATTTAAAAAAAAATGGTTATGTTAAAAAACCTATTGTTGGTCGTTGCGGACATAATGTTACTTTATTTGATGTTAGAGGAGATTCTGTTCTGGATGAAACACAAGGAAAATTTCTTGATAGAAATGTAATTTATCAAAAATTATTTACATTACCAAAATATGAAGGTTATTATGCAATAATGGGTAGTTGGATTGTACATGGATTATTTGCAGGATTCGGTATACGAGAAGATAAAAAACTAATAACAGATGCAGAGAGTCCTGTAGCAGCTTGTTGTATAGTATGGAAATAAAATAAAACAGATTGCTCTTTAGCACTTTTTCTTTTTGAATATTTTCACAGAATGTGTAAAAGAATATTCCATGTTTTTCTTCTTCATAATATTTTTTTTTGTCGTATGTTTACATGTCAAATATATTTTAAAGTTTCCATCCAAATACAAAAAAAAAACTAGCAAATATAACTAGATGTTTGAATTATTGATGAAGATGAAGGTGCTCGGAATATGTCACGATCATCAAAAAGTGTATTCGTATTAATCAAAGAATTAGTCTCGTTAGGTAATAATTCAGTAATTTGAACAGATATACCATCGACTGTTATTATGGTTGTGTTATGTGTTGACGATAAAATTGAGGATGATGATGACATTGAAGAAATTTTAGAATTTTTTCTAAAAGAATAATTACAAATAAAATTAATTACATGGATATATTTGTTCACATATATAAATAAAACAGAAGTTGAAGTACTAGATCTAGGATTAGAGCAGTGACTAGTATTGATACCGAAATAAAAGATAAGTGAACGTATCATGAATATCTCGAGAACTAGTTTAAAAAAAAAGGGAAGCTGCGTGATGACTTTATTTTATCATTTCGCTGAACTTTAGAAAGTAAAAATGTGTCTGAAAAATCTCATTTAAGAAGATATTGATCTTAGACTTATTTTTCTTTCAATGAAACTTACTTTTTCTGTTGTAGAAGATTGACTTTATTTTTCTGATTATTATCTTTTGATTTTAATGTTTGATTTTTACTGAAAATTTTTTGATTATTCACTGTTAATTTTCTTGAAGATGAAATTGATGTGCAAGTTGATCGTTTTTTTGTTTTCGATAAATTGGAATGATCATTAATTTTTAAGGATAATGAAGGTGAAATTGAACAAAATGAATGTGTTGTTAAAGATGATGAAGAACTATTTTCATTGTGATCTATTCGTCGAATTTGATGAGAATGATTTGTTTTACGTTCATTTTCTGGAAATTCTTCATCATTATCTTGAATATCTGAATCGTCAGTAAATGATGTATCTGACGAATAATCTTCATTAGTTTTATGTTTTGATTTTGGTAATTGTTCTGTAAGAACGTTTACTACAATTTTTGGTTTTCTGAAATATAAAAAATAGTCAATTAGTGGAAATAAAATTCCAATCAAAATATCATCTACCGAGTAGCTGTCCCTTTATGTGAATCACACATTTCACATCGAAATGTTACACAAGAATTTTTATATGTACATAATGAACAATCCCATGTACTCGTATTAATTATAATTCGTTGTCGTTTGGTTCTAATAGAAGTAAAATAATATATTATTTCTTATTTTTATTTTTATTAACATACGCTTTATGTGTCATTGTAATTCATATAAATTTAATTTTATCTGAAAGAGAAAGTTTTATATTATACACAAATAGACAATTGCAAAATATCAATACAACGTATCTTAAAAATCACTATACCAAAAAAAAGAATAATAATCTGAATGTATTCCCTATGGTTTTATTAGATGAACTGGTTTTTGTACTAGTTACAGAGAACCTTGGAAGTTTTTATCTATATATATTCACAATTCTGAAATACTCGTATAAAAGCCTTTTCCGAGTTTCGAAAAGCTGTATGTAGGGTTTTTCTTACAGTAATGAAATAAAAATCTCCATTCTCTTACACTCCAGCTAATATGCATACTGAAAGTATAAAAACTTGTGTGCACATACCTCACTAAGAATGTAGATTAGAGGCATAGTCGTACATTTGATTGTTTATGTAACACAGACAGTTATGATAGATATCACTGGATGGTGCCTATTCTTCTTTTGAACTTCATAACTCAAAAAAACGAAGAGACTTGTGATTTAGCTGATCCCTCATAATGTAATGGTACATTTCAGTCATCTACTCTAGTGGTTTGATTGGACTTCATCAACCATTTCTAGGATTGTGCTCGTGGATCTGAAGAAAAACGATCTGCTGTCGTTTTGAAACTATAATTCGATGATAGTTCAATGAAGTGAGCTCCAACTTCTAGAGGAGCTTCACTAATTGTTAAACATTGTCCCCTAGAAATCTGAGAAAAAAATTGATAGCAATTGTTCAGTGAATGCACTCATCTTTTGAGTAAAGAACGGCTATTGACGAGGCTCTAGTTGTATGCTAGAATATTAAGTGTTAGTCATGTATTTGATAAAAAACAATCCATACTTAAGCAATTGCGGTGCGGTTTAGCCACTAGTCTACATTTGCCGCGGAGTTAGTAAACTGACGCAGCTTTAGGATTTTCATAGGTATTGAATTTGAGATCCCTATGTCTGATTTTTCTTTCCAGAATTGTAAAATGAATGCTAATAAAAGAAAAAGAAATAGATCTAGATAATTGTAGACCTACTATAATACAATGAACTGAAGAAATATAAAAATCCTACACACTGTTTTTCGGAAGGAGAAAAAGAACTTTATTATCTATTAGATCGGAAGATTCTATTTGATAGAAGCATCCCAGAACTTTAAATATATGAAAAACAACTTAGGAGTGTCTTCCTATGTCATCAGTACGAAAACCAGTTCATCCGATAGAGCTATGTTCTTCATTTTAAATAAATATGGTTGAATATCAGAATAAGATGTATCAAAGATTAGATCAAGTTTCGATCAATGAACTAGTTTTGATACGTAATTAGAACAATGTAGATAGAAATTTTTGGTTTCTCGTTTCTTACACTATTTGCATAGAGATTGTAGAGAAAACGAGAAAGAATTATATAGCATCGAAAATATTATTTATCTCAACAATATTACCTTTAATTTTATTTTCTCTTGCTTAATGAGACTTTTGCTATGTAGTTACGACGGATTAACACTTTTGCCTAAAAATATCGCGGCAATAAAGTTCATTCTCGACATAATAATTATCCGAAAAAAAAAGTACAAAGGTCAAGGTTTCCCATCAGCAGCACAATCTCTACCTAATATTACTGTTTCGTCTCAAGAAAAAGTCTTTAAGAAAATATTTATTAAATTAAAACGTGACATATGACGAAGTATCTGTCATAAATGATAAAAGAAACGACTAACAATATTGGTAATATCTTATTAAAAATCTAAAAATACTTTTCTTTCCTGCAGTATTTCATTCACATGACAAGTCTCGACCACTTATAACAATAAAAAACTAATGATTTACAAAGATTTTAATGTCATAATAAGCATGTGATCTATCTTTTGTCGATTTATACATCTAAAATTGAAGGAAAAAATCCTTCACAAGTTACAAGTATTCTTAATTAATTTCTACGTGAAAAGAAAAAGAAATAATTTAAATGTCCTTTTGTTTTTTGATAAATATTTTATTTTAATTATTTTAAAAACTTGTTTCAAACAAAAAGCATGTTCACAGTAAAATATAATATATAATTGTCATTTTTTTTTATGCTCATAATAATTGAAATGATATTGTATCTTGTCTCATTAAATCTGTACATTTCCTTCAATCAAGCAATTCAAAATTCTCTATTTGTATTGCTCAAGGAAATAATATTTTGTCAAAATAGCTTTTTGATGTTCGTTCATTATAAGTTTTGTTTATAAATATCAGCATCTTTATTTTTAAAGGCTAAAGAGAAATGCCAAATCAACATAGGATGTATTAAATATAAAATTGATTATGACTTGTCAAAACAAATCAAATATCTTCGTAAACAATCTAGATCGTTTTCGTTATTTTTAGAAAAATAATTTTATTTTCTTGAATTTTTATAGAATTTGAAATTATCAGTGACGAATTTTCATTGACAGACAAAGTTATTCGATCTATTTCTGAAAAAAAATTAGTTTTCTTTGTTATTTTTGAAAAATTAGCAAAATTCCATCATCATGATAATTTCAAATTCNAAGAATAAAGAGAAATACCAAATCAACATAGGATTTATTAAATATAAAATTGATTATGACTTGTCAAAACAAATCAAAGATCTTCGTAAACAATCTAGATCGTTTTCGTTATTTTTAGAAAAATAATTTTATTTTCTTGAATTTTTATAGAATTTGAAATTATCAGTGATGAATTTTCATTGACAGACAAAGTTATTCGATCTATTTCTGAAAAAAAATTAGTTTTCTTTGTTATTTTTGAAAAATTAGCAAAATTCCATCATCATGATTCTTATTAGCAATTATCAAATTGATTATATCAATTATTAGGCATTCATCTATAGATATTGTCTATTATGATGTTAATCAAAGACGAAACAACCACAGCTTATTAATATATAAGGTTTGCAAAACAATTATTAGCGAACATTGACAGTTAGAAAAGAAGAAGTTTACCTGTGATACAGTTAAATATTTCAGGGATTTTAGAAAAAAAAATAACTCAGTACAGGTAACTTCGATCTGAATGATTTTATTAGAACATGACATATCTTCTACATTATAGGAAAAAATGATTTTTTAATATAATAAATATTCTTTTTTCTTTATTAATAGTCATATTAAAACCAGATGGTGACATAAATCATTTATTTTATTCCTATGTTTGAGCGACGGACATGATCAGAAAACAACAACACTCAAGTTTTGAATGTGTAAGAGATGAGATGAAAAAAAATAAATATATTATCTTCGAAGGATTCGTATCTCATCCTATCAAAGAACATTCATGGTTGCTTTCGTGATAGTCAACTTTAATAAACATAACGATCTTTCGAAACGCCACAAAAAAATTGTTTCAAATCGGCTCACAAATAGGGTCGGTAGGTTTAAAATACTGCAAAACGTCGATCGCTGGTGTATATTTGATGCGTTTCAGTATAATTGACTGGAAGAAAACATTGTGATCCTAATATTTTGGCTTATTCTATAGTATACAAAGGTTTAAGTTCGCATGTGGGCAAAGTTGAAACCTGATTAGCTCATGTTTTCGCTATGTCTGGCTTTTTCTTATGAAGTGCCTCTTAAGACTCATTAATGAAAGAAATTTGATACAATTCCGTTTCATCTTAATTTGATTTTTAATTTGAAAGGGATTAGTATGTGATTGTTCTCTCTATTGCCATTATTTTTCGCCTCACGAAAAAAAATATTTCCAATACCCTATATAAAGTCTATTTCTCAACTTCGAAAGCAGAACAATATCAAAATGAAATACTACTTAGCTCTTATCATAAGTTTTCTCGGGCTGTCGTGCAATGCCAATGTGATAAATCTTAATCAAGAGACCAATCAGGCTCCAGCAACGGGCGTACCTAATTTGTTCAATCTACCCAATATATCAAGAAACAATCGAACGGACATTGATCTAGTTGAAGGCGATATTGCAATGCCAGCACATAAGGATCGAATAGCGTTTATCCAATTTGGGCCATGGACTGGTGGTATTATACCTTACGAACTTCATAGTTATTTTTCGGCTGCTCACAAGAAGATGATTACCGACGGGATGAATACGATCAGTCATATACTAACAATTGCATTCGGTTTGTCGCGCGTGGTAGCAATCGAGTCTGGTTAAATATTTATCCTGGCCAGGGGTAAGCTAGTGTACATTTTTTCTTCAAATCATGTCAACTGAATTAATCATAAATATATACTTTGATCATAGATGTTGGTCGTATATGGGCCAAACCAAGACCAGTGGTGCCCAAGATTTTTCACTTGAATTACCAGGATGCATTGACAAAGGAGTAATATTACACGAACTTTTATATGCGCTTGGTTTTGCCCACGAGCAAACTCGGTCAGACAGAGACCATTACGTCAAAATCAATTATCAAAACATTTTGGCCGGTACTTACGAATTAGACTAATTTTACAATCAGGATTGCATATATGTTTATTTCTTAAGGACAAGAACACAATTTCGAACGCTATGCTCCTAGCCAAGTTGACATGTTCGGAACAGTCTACGATTACGGTGAGATCGTTTGTCATCCGTCATATATTCAGAGTCACTGTAATTCTACTTTTTTATGTTATAGGATCGATTATGCACTACCGAACTGATGCATTTTCACGCAATGGTCAACCAACCATCCAGGCATCTTATCCTGGTTACGAGGGCTGGGATGAATATATGGGACGCGGTAGTGCTTTGAGCGATCAAGATTTGATAAAGCTGAAAAAATACTACAAGTGCTAGTAAAATAGAATAATTCTATTTGAATTATAGTCGAAACGAGTTAACTAGTATTAATAAAAACTATTTGATTTGCTCACTCGAAAGTCTAAGACGTGATTTCTTCACTAGACAAAATCAATTCAAAAACCATAATGACCAAGGATGTTCAACTCGTTGTGTACCACTTTGAGACGACGGATTCATATGCATCCGAAAAATACTTATCTAAACAAAAGATCTTTTCCTCTTCTTATTGATGCATACTTGAAATAAGGGTCATCTTAAAATGATAAATACATCAGTGAACAGTGTTAACGTTCACGGTCTCAAGGAGCAGCAAACACAGTTAAAGACGAGTGCATTTTCTTCTCCTTTGATTTACTCCTTGAAAAACAAGTCTTTATATATGAATATGAAAACAAGAACAAAAATGGACAAGAATATAAAGGCTAATCAAGATTTAAAAAAAAAGAATTAATAATAATGAAATAATGATATCAAATATATTCAGACGAACAAAGGAATGATGAAAGAAAAGAGTACGTAGAGAATCGAGGTATATGTTATAAAGATGCACTGTAACAGATAAGATGAGAAAATAAAGAAGGATGCAATACTTTCGATGCAACTGGCAGCATCTTCGATCATGGTCTTTTTTTATTTCGCCATGTATGCTATACTTGGAAGTACTTGCATAAAAAATGAGAGTAGTATAGATGACGTGGCTGAGGAGTGTCTCACGTAGATGAAAGCTTTGCATATTGAAGAGTAGACATACGATGACTATGGATGATGAAGCATGGAGAAGGAGAGAAAGGAAGAAAGAAAAACAAAAACAAAAGGGAATCAAAAGACATAAAGCAATTAACACTTACTCATCGAGAACCAATGCGTGTCGATGAAGTATAAACTCTTCAGAGGAAGTGACACATGTGGTCAGTGATTCTATCATAAGAGTTATCCTAGAGGAAAACATCGTCATAAAAGCGAGATAAATCGAGGTCATAGGCATGCATGCATCTCAGTCTTTTTTTAGATATCGTTTGAAATATAGATCCAGCACATCTTCATGAGTAACAGTACAGATTATAAGCCGAAATATGGGATAGTTGTGCACTAGTCTGAAACCAGCACGAAATTTCTTTGTAGTAGATTCTGCTGAGATTTTGTCAGAAATGAATAAAATAGAAATAGCCATGCAATATACGATGTGAGAAGATAAAGGCAAAGAAACACTGTTGCAGCACGGTCCTGGACACAGTTCTCTCATGCCGCAAATATCTGTGCTGTCCAAAAGAACTTTGAATGTTTCCTACACATTTATCAATTGTTCACCATGGTCATTGACAGATCGATATTGACATGTTGTGTACAACTCCTGATTCTCATTAGAATACCGTCACTAGACGGAAACTAATCATGTCTCTGAAGTCATGAGAAAATTGACGTAATTTAGAATATTCATTTGTGACTGGCTATTTCGGTTCTCTCTCGCCAAATGTAGCAAGATTGGGTGATCGACGTGCTTTACACATCTCATAGAAAAGAACCAAGGGGAATAATGAGCATATGCTTTTGGTTTGTCGTGGTGACGTCATAACCCATGCTTGATATCTCGTTCCTGATTGAACAAAAATATATGCATACAAAAAACTACCATTGCATTAAACTTATATGGAAGACTCATTAGAACAGCAAGTCATTTATGGAAAGATATTAGATTCATCTGTATATATAAAGAAAAAAAAAAGATTGATCTCATCAGGTTTATCATTATTCAAACTAATTCTAAATATCTTCAAATTATGCTTTAATATATTTTAGTACAAAGCCTAGTTAATATGATTTAACTTATCAATATCGATCTTCGTTAATGAACATTATAGGTATTGATTTATCCTAGCTTTATCAATTGAAAATAAAGAAATATTTATTGCTAGAAACTAAAGATAAATGCGTTATTTATCTTTCATAGATCCAAGTATTTCTTTATATTATCTATCATTATTTTCTTAATTCATTCTTTTTTCTGAAATGAAATCGTGTTAACGATATTTTTAATTCTCTGGAATTAGCTTTATCTGAAAAATACTAAATGATCCGAACTACTCAGAAAAAAAGTTTTAGAGTTGTTTTCGCTTTATTTTTTCATTTTCACTCATTTCACACAGTACACCTTCGGATTTGCTATGTCGTCATTGATAATCATGATTTAGTTGATGTCAACTAAAATTGTTTAAAGAAATTATAATATAAGTAAAAGGGTGATAGTATCTTCGTATTTCAGATCATTTTAAATTTAAGAGTGTCAAAATTGTTCTTGTCTCAGATCTTCTTAACAACATCTAAGGAAATTATACAATAAAGTTCAAGGATTTTAGAAGAGAGTAGGTGAGGCATATCACAAGACATCAGCTATCCAACAGAGGTCACTGGTTATCAAATTGAATGAAAACAAAACCTTGGCATTCAAAAACATTTTCATGATTAACAAATAAATTTTTGCTAGACTATCATTCCTTTTTTTATTTTCCAAGCATAGCTTGAAATAATTTTCATAATCATCTTGGTCATTGCCAAGCAATAATGCATAAGAAATGGTTGTCAACATTCCGACACATACTTACCTGTAAAAAGAAACAGTGTATTAGTGTTTTTCAATTGTCGTTCTCGTCATCATAAACTAAACGGTCGTTTACAATGACTACTAGTAATGCTCAACCAGAACGACTTGATACATTGCAAAGACTTGAACTTGAATCAACTATTGGATTCGAAGGTTGATACTTTTATATAAAATTCTTTGATCCGTATCATCTTATACATTGATAATTTAGGACAAGTTCCCCATGGACTTAAATTACATCCCGATCGTGTTCATATGATTTATCCATTAGGATGTAATTTAGTTATTGAAAATTTACAAACACGACAACAAGAATTTCTTCTTGGACATAATAATAATGTTTCTTGTTTAACTATTTCAAATAATGGCAAATATATCGCCTCAGGTCAAGTGACATTTATGGGTTTTAAAGTAAAAGAAAATAAATTTTTATCAAATTAATAGAAAGTCTTTTGTTTAGGCCGATATTATCGTTTGGGATTATTCAAATCGTGATCCATATGCTCGTCTTGTTTTACATAAAGTTAAAATTGAAGATTTAATTTTTACTGCATCAGATCGTTATCTTATATCATTGGGAGGACAAGATGATGGTGCAATTATCGTCTGGAATATTGAAACTAAAGAACCTGTATGTGGTAGTCCAGCTCAACACAAAAGTGCTGGTATAACTTATTGTTTGGCTGCATCGAAAGAAGATGAATATCAATTTTACAGTGCTGGAAAGTAAGTAAAGATAAGAAACTTTGTATTGGTTTTTCATTCAAATACAAACTTAAAAACTTTAGTGGTACACTTCGATTCTGGCAATTGGATGTACCTAATCGAAAAATTCGACCCACAGATATTAATACAGGTGTTGTTAAACGAATTGTTAAATGTATGACTGTAAGTAAATGAAAAGTTTACATTTTAAAGATAAAGAATATTATATATATATATTAAAGGTTTCACCGGATGGTGTCAATCTTTATTGTGGAACAACAACAGGTGATATTCTTATGATTTATATTCCTGCTACACAATTTAAAACAATTGGACCTGAAAAGAAAAAATATTCTATGGGTATTACAGCTATGAAAGCATTAGTTAATGGTGATGTTTTAATTGGTACAGGTGAAGGAAAAGTTTATATTACCGAGAAGGAAACATTTAAATCATTAAAGTATTATTATACAAGAATTTATTAATAGATCTATCGGTTGCATTTTTTTTAAAATTTATTTAGATCTTTGCAAGCTCTTGGTGAAATTACTTCATTAGCGTTGAGAGGCGAAGGTCATATGGTATGAAATATTTTTAATTATCTATTTTAAAATAGAACAGAAAACATCAGAGCTTTGATCTCGAGAGAAATAGCAGATAAAGTTTCGTTTTTCAAATAGAAGCATAAGTTTTTTTTCAACACATACAAATAACACTCAAATTTTAACTTCAATTGTTAAGCTAATTTAGGACAAAAAACAATCGGTGGTATCTGTAAGTCTAGAAAGAATTTTCAAAAGGATAATATCAGAGAAAAATTTGACTGCTTCGTATATTCAATAATTTTCTTCGATATTGGCTTTTACTTGTCCGTGTTACTCTCGAGATTAGATTTAATCGCAAGAAGTCCTGCTATCAGGTAAAAAGTATATAGACTTCAATATATTTCTCGGATATTTTAACTGCCAATGAAGCTCGTTAAATTATGATCGCAACCAGCAATCTGAGGTCAGCAGACCTGAATACAAAAGGATTGACGATAAAAGCACTGTTTGTTTTTCTAGGGCCTAAAAAACGCTTTTCTGGCTTTCTACTATTTAAATGCGGTAACTTCTTGCCTGTGAAAGTCTCAGCATAGATCTCTTCTTCATTGATGACTTAGATCATGAAATTTTTCAAGAAAAAATTGATTAGAGCTGAGCACTCACTAAAGAAATATTCAAAGCTATTGATTAAAATTAGTCGGAGATGTCGATCACTTTTTGACGATTGCCATCAACTCTCATGTATCAATTTTCCAAAGAATATTTCATAAATTAGAGAAATTAAAAAAACGTTTAACATAGATTTTTTTGTATCGATGATTAAGACAACACTGAGCTGTCGAATGAACGATCTAACGTCATAAGATTTCTTTTCTATGTTGAACTTCTAGCTTCTCCTCATGAAGGTCGATCAAGTTCTTGCAATCAGAGTTCAACATACTCTATTTGTAGTTAAACAATAAGATTACAAGATTTCAGTTTATCTATTTTTTATCTGATAGCGGGATATTTTTTTCCGACTACTCTATATCTCTACAAAAGTATTTTTCTATAGATTTTTATCGGTACAAATCGATCACATATATACAAAATAAATTATGCCGATTGGAAAATGGAATTAATAAATACATGTCATAATTCTCCAATACAAGATATTGCATTTCCATTGTAAGTTTAAATAAGACAAAAAACGAGATTCATCAATTTGAGCTAAAACATCTATTTTTCTTATATAGTGGAACTTCAGAATTATTTGGTACGTGTAGTTATCAAGAAATTCGGTAAGAAAGAAAAAAACAACATGCATAAAAAAATTGTTTTTGTTTTTGGTTTATCTAGTATTTGGCATGCATCAACTGGTAATGAATTATTACGTATTTCACAAGCCAATAAAACATGTAATTCAATTTGTTTTACTCGTGATGGTAAAATGATTATTAGGTATGAATGAAAAACTTATTTATTTATTTTTTCCTCAAAAAAAAATTTTTTTTTCTAGTGGATGGGATGATGGTCGTATACGTGCATTTTATCCTGAATCTGGTCGTGAAATGTTTACAGTCAATGATGCACATCATCGTGGTGTTACAGCAGTTGCTGTAACAAATGATTGTCGTCGTATAGTTAGTGGTGGTGGTGAAGGAATGATTCGAGTTTGGCAAATAAATTCACATTCACAAGAACTTTTAGCAACAATGAAAGAACATAAAAATGCTGTTGTTGCAATTCGTATTAATAAATCGGATACAGAATGTGTTACAGCATCACTTGATGGTACTTGTATTATTTGGAATTTAAAGTAAGAAAGTGAAAAAAAAAAATAAAGAACTATTTAATATAAAAGAATTATTTTTATTTTATCTTATTTAAGACGTTTTGCACGTAATCAAGTTTTATTTGAAAATACACTTTTTCAATGTGTTGCTTATCATCCTGAGGAATATCATATAATAACAGGTGGTACAGATAGAAAAATAGCCTACTGGGAAGCAACAAATGGTGCACAAATACGTGAATTAGAAGCATCAAAAAGTGGAACCATTAATGGACTTGATATTGATAGTGTTGGTAATTATTTTGTTACAGTTAGCGCCGATAAATTAGTGAAAGTATGAATACATTTATTTTGTTTTTATTTCTTAAAGAAAACACAACGTTTCGTTTTTCTTTTATTTAGTTATGGCGTTATAATGAAGGCGACGTACATAGTGTCGGTATTGGTCATGGTAGTGAAGTGAAAAAAGTTAGAATCTGTCCAAATACTCAACATATTATAACTGTTGGTGCCGATGGAAGTATTTTTCGATGGAAATTTCCCAAAACAGCTGTTTGAGAAATTTAAAAAGAAATAAATTAACTTCAAGAATAATTTACATTGACGTCTCTTTTTTTTTTTTCTATAAATGTATATGAAACAAAATAATAACATGAATCAATAATGATGTTGATTTATCTAAGATATAACATCAACACGTATTTTACGTTTTCGCTTTCGTTTTCGTAATGATCCCATAGATAAAAAACGACAAATAATATCAATGAGTAGAAAAATTGCAGCTAGAAGTCCGAAACCCTAGAATAAATTTGAATTTAGTGACAAACAAAAGAAGAAGGGAACAATAGGTACTAACTGCGGCTGCACCAGCTGCGCCCGTTTGTGCTTTACGATAACCATTTGGTGTTGATTGATAAGAATTTGATGTATAGCGAGAACCAAATATAGTTGATAATTTTACTTCCCAAAAAATTGCAGCAATTGATATGGCAAGTACAAGAAGAAAGAATAGAATGAAAATGATGGCAATCTAAATAAAAAGAAGAAAATTCTTCTAAGTGAAATTCATCAAATAATGAAAAAGAACTTTTATCAATCGAAATTAAAATTACTAATGATTATGAATTTCTTCTTGGATCGAAACAATCATAAATTTAGATTAAATAAAAAACAAATATTCATGCGATTTTTTAATTTTTTATTGTTGATAAACATTTTTTTCAGATGACACAATAGTAATGTGTAGAAACTAGAGATTCTCATTATTAATAAGCAAACAAAGAAGTTATTTGTTCACTTCCTAGCTAGAAGTTTTGTGATATTCAATTATTTCGATGCCGACGAAATTAATTTCTTTTTGGTACCGATTTTAAGATAGCAAACAGAGAATATTTTAGCTATGCAAACAGTATTGATAACCAACTTCGGATTTCTTACAAATATCTCTTAATAGAATAATGTAAGTTTAAGAAACCATACTTATTTATCTTATAACTTCATCTATTTTTCTTTCTATCACTTTGAGTAACGAATATACGTTATCTATCTTTTGAAAAAAATAGAAATCATATCATTGTACATACTATTTTAGTAACAATTTTCCAAATTTTTCGTTTACGTAATGCTGCAAATATATGAATTAAAAAAATAATCAAAACAGTAACAAGAGTAAGTACAAAAATAACTATTGTTGCTGTTTTAACTGTATTTGCTGAAAGTGACCTATATGAATCTGGTGATGAATTTTGACTACATTCCACTAATGCTGCAACATATTGATTTGTTTTATAACCTTGACATATTTCTGAAACCCAATCAGCTTGTTGAGCCCAGCCAGTGGATGCAATCAATGCACATACCATACCAAAGAAAAGACATATCGATAAAAGTAAAACAATAATAATTAAAATAGAATTTTTTTTTTCTAATTAGAAATAAAAAAACTTTATTTTACCATAGTGAGAATTTCAAGAATTCCTAATATTGATCTCCAATAAGAACGATCACGACGATAAACTCTCATTCTTTTTTTAAAATAGTTATTCTTTACTTTTATGAATTCAAAATGAATGACCTCCTGCTGAATGAATTCTTTTTTCTTGTATTTAGAAGTGACATATTTTTATTTTATCTCGGAAAAGAAAAAAGAAACATAACAAGTAACTAGGCATAATTGTTTGTATGGGTTAAATCAGGATAAACATTATGATAATAAATTTACTAATTATCCATCATTAGATATTTCCCCCATTTTCTTAATAGTATATAATTATCGGCTCGTATTATCACGAATATATCCAAACATTGCATTATCTGTTGAAGTTTAATCTAACGATTTCTGATATTCAAAATGAGTATAAATTTAATGACTCGTTCACTCGATATGAGTCCCGGAAAATTATCGTGACTACGTTTGAAAATAGATCATTAAAAAAAAGGAATCTGTTTGCGGAGTATGCACATTTCTACAGATTTTTTTTGTCTTTTTCAAATAAATATTTATGTTTTATTTGTTGATTGACAATAAATATTATTATTTTAGTCGTAATGATTTAAATGAAAGAGTCGATGATAAGTTACACATGCTTAATATTGATGTAAAAGATTGTGTTAAATCTGTGTTAGAAAATATTTAATTAATCATAGAAGTTTACTTTACTGAACAAAAGTTACATTCATGAAGGAAGTCTCCCAACTGAATAATCTTTTTGAGTTGAGAATATGTACCTCATATAGGCCTTTATGAGTTATGAATATTCGGAAAAGAACTCAAGTCCTTAATGTAAGGCTGCAGAGATACTGCATTTTTTACAGTTTATGTTTTTAGTGAATGCTGTAGGCCGCTCAGAAAAATTCATTCTCCAAGTTTGACTTGAAACTTTGCATAGAGACAGACCTTACCGAGTATGGTTTATTGCAAAAGTTTCTAGTCATTTTATTTGCTTCCGTCTTGAAATAAGAGGATCGGATCTGTCAATCTATACGAGTACAATAAACGACAAGCTTTTACCATAGTTTTATCTTAGGATAGGAACAACGACGAAAATATTTGAAACTTTCACCATAAATTATTTTTACTAAGGTCCTTTTTTTGTTGAAATCCGAAACAGAGTTTTCCTGAGTAGAACTACGCCATTGACTAAAAAAACATAAAAATGCAGTATCTTCATAGAAATAGACTAAGAGTTCAAACTCTTTTCAAAATATTAATAACTGATTTAAGGTCTTAATGATGCACATAGTTCTGATTCAAAAACGATTAATCCATTGAGGAATTTCTCTCATCAATTTTGATTACAAAAATAACGAGAGAACATTGTAACGTTTTCCGCTTAATCTTGATGTATTATCGTTCACTTCACTCCATGGTTTCATTGATTGCTTGTGCATGACGTTTCATCCTTCTCTTGTGACTATGCATCATTAATCAATCTATTGTGCATTTCTTCAATTCTCATGTTTAGATTATCTCCTTCCTTTGTCTTGATATTATCTCTTTTCTCTCTCTCTCACACACTGTATCTATAAACAAGACATCAGATTAAAAGTGTTACAAAAATAAATTATAATCTTTGAAAAATACATCCTTAGATTTTTATCAAAATTTTTCAAAGAAAATAAAAACAAGTTCAATAATTGTTGAGTATTTTTTGAAACTAGACATTAAACGAAATTGGCATAGATTCATAAGAATTCAAATTTTTTTTTAACTTCTTTTATCGTTTTATTTGAGTCATCCAAAACCAGTGTGCATTTTTTTTTCTAATATTATTAACAATATGAATGAAAAAAAAATGGTCACGTCACCAATATAATTCAACAATGAATAAAATGCCCTTGAAAAACAAAAAAAAAAAAAGAAACAAAATGTCTGTAAAAGCAATGAGAAAAAAAAGTAAGTCCTGGAACGTTTTATTTTTATTATCAGAAAGAGAAAAACAAAACGAAAATCATTCTTTTTTTGCATTGTTCATCATTTTTGTTCAATGTTCACAGCTGTTGATTCATTTCGATTCTCAGCTTTTAATTTTTGAAATGCTTGAAATGCAGCTGCTTCTTTGGCTTCCTTTTTCTTATTACGCTTTTCATACTCTAATCTACAAAATCAGAACAAAAACAAAAACGAGAAGTTCATTTCAAATATTTAAAATCAACAAACCGATTATCAATAATACGTGTAATAATATCCTGTGTTGTCATTGGGTTTCCACTATCGATTCGTTGAAACATGCCAAGCGTTTTCGGTACATCATACGGATCACTTCCATCAGCATCAGGTTCATATTCTGTTCGACCATGAACAACAAGCGAAACCTATTGATTTAAAAAACAAGTTGATTAAATTTTAATTCTTTATTTTTGAAATACAAACTTTAAAATGATTAATTAAATCCATCGTAACAGAATATGGTGCAGCAATAACAACTTCATCAACATACTAATAATAAAACAAAACAGCAAATTGGTAATTTTATTTAATTTTTTTCAATTTTACTCGACAAGCTAAGACACTTAATACACGTTCATGAATATTCATTATTGGATGATTACTTCCTTTATATCGATTAACAACCTACAGATAGAAAAAAATTGATAGCTTCTTTTTTTTTTCTATTTTTTTAGAATTAATTACTCGATCCCCATGTAAACCAACAATAACATAATCACCACATGCTCTCACTCTTTCAAGAAAATCAACATGACCAACATGAAATAAATCAAAAGCTCCGGCCGTATAAACAATTTTATCACCATGCTAAAAGAAATTATTTATGTATATTAAAATTTTACATGTATAACAAAATAAAACAAATTAACAGACAAAACTTGGATCATTAGAGATTTCTAAACTTCAGATATGGTACTGATCTGAAAGCCAGACGGGTTGGTAAGCCCGTCGAGTTGCGCCCGAGTCCGGTTGAGTCTCGATTCGAAAATTTTGGATTCGACGGGCTTTATCGATTCCATCTATTGCAAGCATAAAGTCCTTAGCAATAGAATTATTGACTTAAAATAAACTAATCAATTCAAGTTTATGGTAAAGAAAGTTCACTGAAACAAATATTTAGTGATTTTACTGCGAAATTATATAACTATTTGTATTGTAATTAAGAATGTTTAAGCAATCATTTATTTGGTCATGTTTTAAAATAAAATGTAATCTACCTTTGGTTCGCGACCGTTAGAAAATTGTATTATCTTATTAGTTGTTGCTAAAAATTGTGAAGCACCTGTCCATGGACTAATACTTTCTTTACATAAACTCATTCGGCGTGTATTCTCTGGGTCTGGTAATATATCATCAGGTTCATGATGACTTTTTGTAACTAATAACATTCTAAATAATTCTTATAGAATAATTAAATAAATAAATAAATAAAACAATTCAAACCTTCCGACAAGATCTGTTGTTGATACACCTTGTGTTCGTTTACATTCTCGATATCGGCCAGCAGCTTTGACAATATGATAAGTATCAACACCATCAGCCGTAACCTTTGAATAATTCAAAAATAAACTATTCACTATTAACAGAGCCAAAAAAAGGAAAGTTTTCTTTTTTTTCTTACAGTAATATCATCACCATGTACACAAAAGGCACAATTATATTCTTCTAATGTTTCAAGTGTTGTTACATACGGAGCATTCTCGACAACTTGATCAACCCATTTAATAGCACGAACCATTTTATATCGTTCTTGCTCTGTAAATACTGGTGGACCTTTATGTTTAGTAATTTCCCCTAAAGAAATATAATTAGAAAAAAAAGATAGATAAATCAGAAATTCAAAACAAACCATCAGAATGGACGCCAACAATTAAGTAAGTACCCATTTGTTTTGCTTGTCGACAAGCATTAGCATGACCAAAATGTACCATATCATAACTAATAATAAGAAAATATTTTCTATTCTTTGTTTTTTTTAGTCTCGATTCCAGTCACAGTCCTGTTGAATCTAATCTGGTCTCAAATTACAGAAAATTATTTCAGAATTTATTGGCATCAAATCAATATATTCATTTTTTATTCGATTAAATCAGCAGACAAATATCCCTTTTTTTTGGTTATCTCTTCTGAATTTTTCCATTGATTAGTATGATCTATAACATAATTCGCTAAAAAAAATCATCGAAAATTTAACTGAAATTTTTCGTGCGATTTGTGTAACTTTTTTCTCACAATTTCACATGTCATTAGTCATTAGTTTAACGAGTTAAGTCTGATATGACTCAGACAATGTTTACTTTTCTATTCTTGTANACCCATTTAATAGCACGAACCATTTTATATCGTTCTTGCTCTGTAAATACTGGTGGACCTTTATGTTTAGTAATTTCCCCTAAAGAAATATAATTAGAAAAAAAAAGATAGATAAATCAGAAATTCAAAACAAACCATCAGAATGGACGCCAACAATTAAGTAAGTACCCATTTGTTTTGCTTGTCGACAAGCATTAGCATGACCAAAATGCACCATATCATAACTAATAATAAGAAAATATTTTCTATTCTTTGTTTTTTTTTAGTCTCGATTTCAGTCACAGTCCTGTTGAATCTAATCTGGTCCCAAATTACAGAAAATTATTTCAGAATTTATTGGCATCAAATCAATATATTCGTTTTTTATTCGATTAAATTCGCAGACAAATATCCCTTTTTTTTGGTTATCTCTTCTGAATTTTTCCATTTATTGGTATGATCTATAACATAATTCGCTAAAAAAATCATAGAAAATTTAACTAAAATTTTTCGTGCAATTTGTGTAACTTTTTTCTCACAATCTCACATGTCATTAGTCATTAGTTTAACGAGTTAAGTCTGATATGACTCAGACAATGTTTACTTTTCTATTCTTGTAGTATTTCTATTAGCAAAATTATCCGAAACCGATGATTATTAATGAGTCATATTAAGGTGACGTCATTCGATTTACTAAGCAACGCTTTTTTGCATCAAGAATTCCTAATCATATTTTCAATATATGAGAAGTTCTTTAATTCGACTTAGAATAATGTATTGTAACTAAAGATTTATTTAGTTTCCAAAACAAATTAATAACCTTCGTTTTTTTCTTCATCTAATTGAGAAGTTCTCATTTATAAATTCTCTGTAATCAATCATAGTCTTTTAACTTATAACTCATGCATAATAAATTATCATAGTTTGACATAAAGAAAAGCTTCTTTTCTCAAGACAACTGATGGGTTATCTGTTAGAGATCTAAATAACATAATTTCATACTTACCAACCATCCATCCAAACTCGAACATTTTGTTCGGATTTTGCTTCATTTGTAGTTGATGTACTCATAATTTATTACTATAAAGATGCAAACAAACAAGTACACACACGCATATATATTTGTCAATTGATTATTCATTCGTCAAATACTTTGCCATAAAGATAAAATAAAATAGATGTCGTCATTTTAATTTATTAATTGATACGGATTGGTTTATATGAACAGAAGAGGAGGCTACTAGATATTGGTAATACGTTGAACAAAATTAAAAAAAAAAATATAATCCAATAAACTAAATAATTTTTGTTTATTTTATCTTTAAGATGCCATTCATTTTATTCCGGTGAATAAAAAACAAAACAAAAAAATGTTATTATCAAAATTACGTGAACGTTCTTTATGTCTTTTAAATTCCGAAAATCTTGATCCAACATTTCAACCATGGGTTACAATTTCAGATGCTAAATTTCATTCAGATGTTTGGTATATTGAATTAATAATAATAGTATTTATAATAATTAATTATTTATATATTCTAGTGCACTTTATTGTCATACTAATATAAATCCAATACAATCAATACAAACAAATTATTTACCACCATTCATATCTTATTTATGGCCATTAATATATCATGGTGCTAATGTTTGGGCTGTTGATCATCCAACAACACGTGAAATAACATCAATTAAATTTGTTTTTAAATATGATTTATTAATATGGAATCTTTTCTATCGTTCAACAAATATGAATCCATCATTAAATTCCGATATTGTTTATCCAAAAGTATTAATTCTTGCACCGGATTGGTTTACTTGTGAAAATACATATAAACATTTATCTAATGTGAATACAGATGTACTAAAAAAAATTCTTATGTGCTGTATTTATGAAGGACAAAATATTGAAAATGAATTATATAGAAAATTCTTAACACAAGGTTGTGATCTTCTTATAGCTACACCAACTATTGTTAATGATTTAATACAAAAACGTCATATACATTTTGAAAGACTTGAAATGATTGTTGTAAGTTTTTGATGTTTAATATATTTTTCTGTTGTCTTTAGATAAGAACTAAATTTTCGAGGAAAAAACATCGTTTGTTTGTTTTCATTAATCGATCAATTCAAAATTTTTAATTAGATTTATATTGGCGTTTAGGACATTTGTTCGCTATCTACGATTGAGTTTAGGAGAAAATGTCGAGATTAATTTTCAATCAATGAGAGAACCACCCGATCTGATACTCTCCGTTTGAACTCATATTGGATTCATAAGAAAGTTTTGGTAAGACTAGAAAAAGGCGTCGTTTCTATGGGTCTTTGAAGTCAAGTTAGAATTGTTTTACTGAATTTTCGACTCAGCTTTACATGCATACCGAAAAATCAAAAAAACGGAATTTTGATTTGAAATTTTGCCTCATACATAAGTGAAATGACCTGTAGAATATCCTAAAATTTTCATTTGAAAAGAATAGTTTCTATGTTGAAAAATAGAGTTAACTTCAAAATTCAATATCTTGGCGATATAAATATTATTTTCAGCTGAAAGTTTCAGAATATTCTATCGATCATTCGACCTATCTATAGCCAAAATTTCACGTTCACATTCTGCTTTGCGATTTCTCGGTATATGCCTAAAGTTTGGTCGAAAATTCAGTAAAACGATTATAGTTAGACTTCAAAGACTCATAGAGACAAGGCCTTTTAGATTTTTGTTAGTCTTACCAAGGTATCCTTGTAGGTCTAAGATGATTTCAAACGATATTTATCAATTCAGACAGTTTCCTCATAAGTATTTTTAGAAGTATTTTTACACCTGACAATCATTTTTGAATTTTAAGAGAAAATAACCGAATGGCACAGTTTGTATAAGAAATAAATGTCTCTGATCACTTCTAACTTTGTTAAAATGTACTCTTAACTTAAGGTTAAAAACTGAATTTATTTACTCAATAAAATCACTAATTGTTATTTTGGTTAGAATTACATTATCCCAAATTTTTCGCGAAACAATCTTTACAAGCAACTGTCGGCTTCTCTCGATATCAAATTTGAATTGACTAGTATACATTAGTCTCTATTAATCTTTGTTCTTTGATTGTCATAGTCGATCATTCATTTTATCATAATTGACTATTAGAACAAATTCTAAAGGATTCGTGTTGACATAAAGATTGGACCGAAATATTGACTTTTTTTTAGTTTTGATTTGAAAATTTTGCTCAGAGAGTCTCAGTAAGACTAGCTTATGTACAAAATTTCAGAAGTTTTCGATCGAGTACCTCTGCAATATGAAACTTCCAAAATATACATTTTTCATACAATGCACAAGCTAGTCTTACTGAGACTTTGATCTGGACAGAGTCTTCAGTCCAAAATTCGAAAATTTAAGCTCATATAGGGAAAATCCACTAAAAAGTCAATATCTCGGTTAAATCTTAAGTTCAGCACGAACCTTTTGGAGACAATTCTACTCTGTGGATTCCTTACGACTGTGCACAATATGAACTCAAAAACTCTTAATCATCTTGGGAGTTTTTCTTACGTGTTCAATATATACCAATACAATTAGAGGAAAAATTCAATAAAAATATCTAAATTCATTCATATAAACTCTTTTACCTAATCATAATCTCATGTTGTTGTTGTTACTTTCAGTACGATCAAGTTGATCTTCTTCTTCAAACAATTGAATCGATAAATGAAATATTAAATCTTATTAAATTGCATACAAATAAAATCAAATCTATGCAACATATATTTTTCTCTCGTATTGTAAATCAACAAACAAAAAGTTTTATAAATGAACTTTTTTCATTAAATAAAAATTATTATTATCTTTCACCATCAATGATGGAAACACATACATATAAAAATTTTTTTTTCTATTGTGAACCATGTCGAAATTGGTCGGAACGTAAATATATTATAAAAGAAACATTAGATTTAGCAATAAATTGTCATAAAAAAATTATTATGTGTGCATATCAAACACGTCGTTTAGCAACAATGCAAAGTATACTTAATGATTTATCAATACAATCTATATTAATACATTCACAATTAAGTAATGATGAAATTCAACAATATATACATGAATGGCAAACAATAAATGATCGTTTATTAATATTATTAATTCAAGATGATATATTAAGTGATATAACAATTGATAATACAGATATAATTATACATCTTGATGTTCAACGTCTTATATGGTATCAATTATATAATCAACGTATGAAATTAATTTATAAACATTTATTAAATAATACAAATAATAATAAAATTAAAAAAAATGAATTAACATCATTAAAATCAATTGAAAAATTTTATCAATTTAATACATTAATAAATATACCATTAATTGTTATATTATGGCCAGGTGATTGTGCACAAGTAACATATGATTTAATTGATTATATTAATAATTCAAATAATTATTTACATCCATTAATTGAACGTTTAGCTAAAAATAATTGTTATGAATCATTACAAGCAAAAGTAAATGTTGAATTATGTCCAACATTAAAAATGTTTGGACAATGTTTAAATGAAAAAATTTTAAAACGTTGTCCATATAGACATCATTTTCATTATGATATTGATTATATTGAACAACAAGAACAAGAACAAGAGAAAAAAAATGATAATTATTTAACAGATTCATATGAATTATGTTTACCTAATAAAGGTGAAATTGAATTACGTATAACACATATTAGTGATGGAAATCGTTTATGGGCAAATATATTACGTTCAAGAAATGATATTAATCAAACATTAATTAAAATATTTGATTATGATTTATTTTATAAACAAATTGAAGATGCTTTTAATCATGTTAAAAATCAACCATTAAGTGAAATTATACCCTGTGAAATCTATTTTTATATTGATAATAATAGAAAAATACATCGTGTTTATGTATATGAACAAGAACATACTTATTTTGATATAAGAAGAGCTGATTCAATTTTGAATAGATTATTAAAAGTATCAAATACTGTAATCAATAAAGAAAATGATCAACATACAAATAATACAGTATCCACTACTAATGAACAAAAGTAACTTTTTTTTTTGTTTAGAATTTATGAATTAAATAGAATATCTTATTTGATATGAAGGAATGAAATTTCTTTTTTTATCATTGGAGAAAATTTTACTCTATATTTTTATTAGTAAACTCTTGATCTCAGGGATTGTAAGACATATAATGACATCGTGAACGGCGTTATTTTTGTCTTAGAAATGTTTTTTTAGGTTCAACAGTGTTTAGAAATTAGACAAAATTATTATCCATATGACTTTATTATTAGATGAAAAGAAAAACAAAAACTATATTTTATATCTTTAAATATCAGTTCTTCATCTTCAAAATATCCTATTATAAATTCAGAAGAGATTAACAATTTCAAATTAATCAAAGATATCATCAAATTGTTAATATACAAATACTTTGCTTGAGTGCAATGTGAGATATTGCTACAATTTCTACAAAAGAAAACTTAAGAGGGAACATTCTCAACTATCATATACATTTTTTATTTGAAACTATTACATTCAATCAGTGATCGTAAATAATGAAAAAGTTTATTTTGATTTGGTTTTTTGATCTTCACTTATTGAGTTATAGGCGATTTACTCGATCGTTATCATATGACTATAGGATCACTGAGAACCTTAATAATCGAATGTCGAGCTGAAATTTTATTCACAAATAGGTCTTATAATCTCTGGAAACACTCCAAAATTTGAGTCAGGAGCAATATATTCGTATAGGAATATGAATTGATGATAGAGAGTGTGAATGTAGCATCCACACCCTATCTCAACAATTAAATACCAGAAAATCACATCAAAGCATGTTAGTTTTTACGACTCATCGTGAACGATCGAATAGCAATAGTCTCAAGTGAAAAACGATTTCACAGTCAGAAATATCCCCTTCTTAGTTCGTAAAATAGAACTCTGAGAATTCTCTTTGATTTAAATTTTACTAAATCAAAAAACCCGTGATAATTTCCCTATCTTTATTCATTCTAAAAACTTTTATATTAGCGTCATAAGTTTTTATTCTTATATAATTATTGAATTTCACATTAAAAAATTCACAAGAAACAAGTTTTACGAATTTTTTTTTTCATCTTTATTTAGTTCAACTCTTACAACAGTCGATCATCCTACATTAGTTGTTTTCAGTCTTGATACTGGCATAACATTTACATTAAAATCTAATGAACATCTCTATCCTATTGAACCATCTTCATTAAAACAATATCCTCCATTAGCAACCGAAATAATCTTATGTAATATTTGTCCGTTAGATAAAATAACAATGACATTTACACCATTTACAATTGAAACAGTTCGTTCATTAACATTAAATGAAATATTTATGGGACGAATTAAATTAGCAACACGTTCATGTTTTTGGATCGATCCACTTGTTAAACCAGTACGTTTAGCTGCACTTAAACGTATTGCATATGATAAACCAATACGAAAACAATTAATTTTATCTAAACTTGTTCAATCAAATGATAATCATATCAATGTACTTGAACGTATGGCTATTGAAGCTCAACTTGATGAAGTAACAACAACGTATCAAGAAGAAACGAATGAACAATCAAAATCAATAGTAAAATCTGATGAACAATTAAAACCAATTGTAAAATCTGATGAACAATTAAAACCAATAATAAAATCTGATGAACAAGAAATAATAAAAGAAGAGGTGATTGAAGATTTTTCACCTGTATTTAAACCATTTCTTAATCGTATTGGACAACTTATTATTAATCCTGTTGGTCGATCAAAACAATTTTTTATAAAACATAATCAAGAATTACAAAATTTTGATTTTGTTAAAGGTATTTCTTTAGAAAATAATCAAAAATTAAGTAAAGAATCTTCATCATTAAATGATCAACAATTAACTACAGAAAAGAACAATAATACTGATCGATATATTCCACTTGGTCGTGGACATAAACTACATACAGAATCATCATCTTTAGTAGAAAATGTTCTCCAACGACCACAATCAATACCAGTATCAAATACTGTTGGTTTTCAACATTCAGACGAATATTCACCATTTCAAACATTAGTAAATACTCAACAATTATCAATCGATTCAAATGTAACAACACCATCTGAAGTTGAACCAAGTAAAATGATACAAAGTGAAACAAAAACTGAACAAATTGAAGAAGATGAAGTATTTGAGGTAATTTATCAATTAATCAAAATTGAATTATTTGACAAGAAAATATCACCAATAGATACCCTCCCCCTGTAGTATGGAGTGCTACTTAGCAGCAGATTCAATAGCCCGATATTTTTCCTTCAACTATGATTAGTTGCAGCTATGAACGAAAGGCCGACCTGACGCAAAGCTCTTGCACTCTCCATACACAGTAACTAATGACAAGAATAGCTGTATGTCACAACATAGTCAGCATGCTATCATACGACTGATGCAAGACAAACAGCCTTATTAATTTGCCCAAGGTCATTCCATAGCTGGTGGTACTGAGTTTTGTACCGAATTCCTTGTTGATATGTGTCGAACAACACAATCGCTCAGTCATCTCTCCGTTTGAGCTCGTAGAATAGAGAAAAACTCTAAAAGGATTCGTCCCATTGCCGGTTTGTTTCAGAGAAACAAGCATAACAAGTTTTTCTAAAAATAACATTACTTTGTTTTTTTTGTTAAAAAAAGAAATTTTAATATATTAATTAAAAAAAATTCCCACGAGCTGGTTTTTCTAAACTCATATTACGGGTGCAGGTGGCAAAAATAATTTAACGTTCTCACCTATATATTTCACCAGAAGGTACTAGAGAGAAAATAGTTTAATTAAAAATACGAGAGAAAACATACATGATCGATGCCGAAAGGAAACAAATGTACAGAAACATAAAAATGTAAACAAGATGTGTCTTGTGGACAAGAAATTCTTACTTTCGTAACATACACTTTTATTTAATCATATTCTTTTGCGTACTTATTATGCTTAACAAATACATAGATGACATACAAAAACAAAAATATTTTAGAAAATTTTGTTTTGCCACAATCGGATAAACCTTTGTTGATTTTTTTTTCTCTACTTTATGCACCCTACCAATGCACTGTAATGAAGAGTATTAGTTGATGATGTTCCCTCATCAGATATTTAACAATAAAATATTTTCATATAATTTTTGTTTGTTTTTCTTGAGAAGTAATTATTTTAAAAATTCAGTGAAGATACATAATTGACTATGAATGACCTATGTTTCTCCGTTATATTGTTATTTTATCTGTATTAAGCTGAAAACTTATTTACTATGAATTAATTTTTTGAAAGATGAGCTATTTCGAAGGATAATATATGGTTAGACAATTACGTATGCAGCTCTTTTTAGATTGTAATCAAGTCTTTCGTTTTCAGGATTGCTGGTTCTTATATTGACTCGAAATCATTTATTCTCCATTTTATTAGAATCTCGTCCTAAACGAAGATCGTAATAGAAGCTGCAGATTTCTATCTCTTATCGACCAGAAGCTATTTAAAGCGACTATGAAATATTTTTTTTTTTTGACTGGCTATTAATTCTAATAAAATATTTAGCAGAAAGATCATATTATTTATGAGTCTGTATTGAAAACAAAATATCTCTTGGGAAATTATTTTTTATTTTACTCGTTATATCTGGGTCAAAATGATCCAAGTTGTCATGAAAAATGTTTTTTGAATCAACACTATTTTCTAACTCACAAATCTTAACCAAGAAATGATAAAAAGAAGTTTAATTTTTTTCCGAATTTGAAGACTCTACACTATATTCATAAACCGTCTTGATCTAATGGTTTATTACTTCAAAAAGATAGTTTTTATGAATGGATTCCAACAGTGGAAACAGGCCTATTTATTCGTTTTTAGTCTATGACATTTATAGATCCCACTTTTCGAAACTTTAATTATTTTGAACTATAAGACATCTAAAAACTAGATATCAAAACAACTTTCCAGTCGTTAATGTTAAGAATTTTTCCTGCTGTTCAACTATAAACACTTAGTCACTTCGCGCAAAAATTTAAATTGCTAGATCGAATTTTTTGATTTGAATGAGACTGTTTCCTGATACTCTTCTAGAAAAAAATGTGATTTTCTCATGTTGGGCTAGTTGTATTTCTTTCTTCATACATTATGATTGATGGAATCTATCTCGATTTTCTTCTATTTACGATTGTAAATGATTAATATATTGGCATTTAGCAGATTTATTTTGTGTACGTCAAGGGTCACTAATTTGGCATGTCTGAGCAAATTTCAATTCTAAACGAAAGAATTAAGCTAATACAAATATTTTCTATATCTTCAATACTTATAATGCACTTGATTTATTTTACATTGACATAATCTTAAATAATGAGAAGTTTAAAGAATATTTACTCGATCTTATCCTAACAAAAGAATTTCTCTTAGATTCATAAAAATCAAATATGATTGTTTAATGTTTTCTTTTTTGAAAAGGACACGGCTGATACAATTCCAAATACAGAGTCATCGATTTCAACAACTAATAAACCATTAGAATTAAAACAAGAAAAACTCGATGATAATGGTGATGATGATGATCAAATGATGTTTATCTTTGGCCCAAAATTATTTTCTCAACTTCGTCAAATAAAAGATATGGAATACGAACAACGTCGTCAATCAGATTTTCCTGTTCAACGTAATCGTAATCGTCATATGCGTAATAATAATTTGAAATCAAACATTCAAGATAATAATAATGATGATGATGAAAACAATGAAATAAATGCACAAAGAGTTCATGCACCAAATATGAGCCGTTATGAACCATTTATTGATGAACGTGGTCCATTAACACAAGAACAAATTGATTATAAACAAACACAACGTAAAACACGTCTTTTTTGGGAACAAACATCACGAGATATTTATTTAACAATTGGCTTTTATAATGTTGATTCAACACAAACACGTGTTGAATTTGAACAACATTCAATTTATTGTCGAACTAAAATTCGTACATATGATCGTTTTGTTCGAATTTATTTAGCTTATGATATTATACCAGATAAATGTTTATTTCAAGTACGTCGTTCAAATATTTTATTAACAATACGTAAAGCAAATGAAGGTTTTATGTGGACAACATTAACAAATCGACCAATTGAACCACGACCAGATTTTTTTATGATTGATTATGGTAGTGATGATGAATCTGATACAGAAAAACGTCGTCGAACTGTTAATCAACAATGGGATCAAATACGTGATGATAAACGTCAATTAAAATTAAATAATGATGACAATAAATATCTTATTGATGATATTGATGATGATGATCATCATCAACAACAACAACAACAACAACAACAGCAGCAAATTGATAAATTAAATAATATTGATGATGATGATAACAATCAACAAGAATTAACTGATACATCATCTGATTGCCACTCAACTGACTCAGATGATTGTTATTATGAAGATCAAGTTCCAGCTAATCATATACCACAAGGTTATGATGAAGCTGATTATGATCATCGTTTTTATGGACAACAAATACGATCTTAAACTTTCTAGTCAGATATTAATTGTTATTCTGAGCGTTTTTTTTTTGTTATAGAGAAAAGATAATATATATTCATATCTTTCAAGATATATTAGTTTGTTTGTTTTTTATTTGTAGATAATGCCTGTCGAAGATTTATCTGACGAAGGTCTTCCTAAAGTACCTAATCTTGATTTAGCACAAATAAAATTTTTATTAACTCTTAAACCTAATGATGTAATATTAAAAGAAAAACTTTTAAATGAAATTAAACAAAATAATATGACATCATTTTATAATGAATGTATAAAAGATGGTCAATTATCATGTGATGAAAAACTTCTTCAAACAATGCGTACAATAAATGAAGAAAAACTTAAAGAATTTGATGAAAAAATTCAAGAAACAGAAAAAAATTTTGGTGAAAGTGAAATACGTGAAAGTTATTTAGCTAAAGCACAATATTTATGTACAATTATTGATCGTGAACAAGCATTAACATGGTTAAGAAAAACTTATGATAAAACTGTTACATTAGGACATCCTCTTGATTTAATTTTTTATCAATTACGTTTAGGTTTATTTTATATGGATCAAGATTTAATTGAAAGAAATTTAGATAAAGCTAAAACATTAGTTGATGAAGGTGGTGATTGGGATAGACGTAATCGTATGAAAGTTTATCAAGGTTTACGTGCAATGTCAATTCGAGATTTTAAATCAGCTGCTGAATTATTTCTTGATACAGTTGCTACATTTACATCTTATGAATTAATGGATTATCAAACATTTGTTACATATACAGTTATTTGCTCACTTGTGGCACTTGAACGACCAAAATTACGAGAAAAAGGTATTGTGGTTTGGTTCTTTTGTCCCTTGTTCTTAGTTTGCTTAGATTAATAAATACATTCATATTTGTGTCGAGTGAATCAAGTGTTAATTTAAGTCTAAAAATACCTTGTTAATAATTTTGTTTTTTATCTATATGTATAATTATTTTCAAGATAAGCTTAAAAGCTAATCTCTAATTCAGATTACCTCTTTGTTGTATAGAAAAAAAGAGCATTTAATTAATAAATCGACATAGAAACTCCTGGATTTGTCTCGTAAATTTATTTGTTTATTTTAGTTATTCGTGGTAGTGAAATTCTTGAAATATTACATGGACTTCCATTAATTAAAGAATATTTATTTTCACTTTATGAATGTCGTTATGCAGATTTTTTTCGTTGCTTAGCAACAATTGAACAAGATTTACTTACGAAAGATCGATATTTAGTACCACATGCAACATATTATGTACGTGAAATGCGTATTATAGCATATAATCAATTATTACAATCATATTCATCATTAACAATTAAAGGTATGGCACAAGCATTTGGTTGTTCAGAAGGATTTCTCGATAAAGAATTATCGCGTTTCATTGCAAGTGGAAGACTTAATTGTAAAATTGATAAAGTACGGGAAATTATCGAAACAACAAGACCAGATTCAAAGAATTTTCTTTATCAAGAAGTAATAAAAAAAGGTGATTTATTACTCAATCGTGTTCAAAAATTAAGTCGCGTCATCAACATTTAATTCAACGAACTGAATAGTCATGATTTAGATAAACTTGTTGACGTCATTTTTTTTTATTATATATATACTTATAAGAAATGTGAATAAACAAGAGCCAAAACAAGAAAATAAATTAAATTAATATGGCGTGAATAGATTCTATCATGTACTATTTTATGACTGTAGTAATCAAAGAAAACAAGATCAAAACGATAACTAGTTTCACTCATGTTATGATAATTCAAGAGATACATTTAGCCTATAATATGATGCATTTCATATCATTTGTAATCTTATTTTTAGAAAGTGTGTAAACTGTTTTTAATATGTGATGATACAAGCAGACATATAAACAAATTGATATATAATCATGGACTTATTATCGATTGTTTTATCCATTTCTTTGTTAGTTTTCATGACAGTTTTTGTTTTTGCGCATAATTAATTCATATACGTCATTGATAAATATATATATATATATAATGTATGTACGTATTTATATATATCTGTGTTATTTTGCAGTCATTAATGCCTGTTATTTTCACAAAAAAAAAAGAGGAAAAAGGACGAGAGAAGAAAAAAAAGGAAGTTCTCTTTTTTTTTAATCCAGACAATATAAATCATCAGTAAAACGATATTTTACGTCTTTATTTATTTCCCATCTCCTGTTGTTTTACGGTTCGAAACAAAAGTTGATGTCATGTGAGAATCATCAACTGTTTTTTTTCTTTTCTTCAAGTGAAAAGGTATTTGATTCTCATGATTTGACTATCAGTTATACTTGATCAAGATCAGATTACGACATGAAAACTTTTATTCTTGTCAGATATTCTTCGTATCTGTTACATTATGATGAATGGTAATAATAATCATTTATCTTCTCTTAATTTTTAGTAAGTACAAACTATATATAATGATCTATTTCTGGACATTCTTATCTTACTTCCTTTTGTGACAAGCTCGATTACATAAATATTTATTTGTTTTCTCTTTTGTTACTTCATAAACAAACATGAAATACGATTAAAAATTAAAAAAAAGTAAGAAAAAAAAACTCCGTATATCTTTTGTTCTTGAGTTTTGTTGACTATCATAAATTGATTTCTAGATGGATGTTGTCTATGTTAAAAAAAATAAGAAACAGAGAGAATGAGAAGAAGAAAAAAAAATTGCGAACGAGAATAAGATGTCATTTACAACGGAGCGCTGTTTGCCCTTTCCATCACCTTCATTATCAAAACACGAGTGACAACCACTACCCTGTGGTTCTTTTTTTTTTTTATTGTTAATCAAGTGTCGAAGACTTAATGTATTGATATTTTTTAACTCTTTTCCATCGATATATTATTCTGATAGAAAAAAAAAATGATTGAGTCTTATTATAATTAAACATGTCGGAGCTTTTTTATCTCATCGGTTTTCGACAGTCTTTTTTTTTTTCTTTTTTTGTTAAAATCCTATTTATATAATGAACAAACAATCGGTATACCCTAAGTGCTTTTCTTTCTTATCGTTCTTCGGCTGTCAGCTAGAATTTCCTTGTAATAATTAATGAAGCGAAAGCAAGCAAGCAAATGAAATTGTTCAAGCAATGGATTAAAGAAATATTTAGGTTTGTAATATGTCAAAGCGTTAAGTGCCTGACAAACTTTAATAAACAAGTAAACTTTGGTTCGTCGCAATAGCAATTATTATCTAGATTATCTCTTATTGTCAATGTTAATCAGTAGTAACTTTGATGTTAAGTATTTTTTTTTTATATCGATGATAAAAGTCAAGATGTAGACAAACAGCTGATAGAAATGTGAAGAAAATATTGTCAAGGTTCATCATGACGTCGATAGCTACTATCATCAGTAAACGGAAGAAAGAGAAACTATATATGACGTCAATATGTGTCGACTCTCCTGTTAGTCAATGTCAACAATCAATTCACTACTATTACGTAAGTTATCTGTTGACGAAAAAAAATTTTTCTTCGCTCTTCTTACACTTCTCATCTATCTTAGCCAAGGAAAAATTCCTATACTGATATATATATATATGTGAGACTATTATCTTTCTAGAAAAAAGATAAAGGAATTTAGTATGACCAAATTAGTAAAGATATTGAGTATACATAAAACAGATCATCATTATTTCCGTTTTATGCTTTTTCTATAGATATTTCTCTAATGATGTCAGACGATTTATTCAATCTTAGTATTTCCTCTTGGTATGATCAGATTGCATTTAGCTTTTGTGTATATGCGCATTTTTTTTTTTCAATCATATTTTTGCTATCCTATAGTCTTGATTAGTAAGGAGAGATTTATCATGCAAACGATGAATACTTGAGTAGGAGAAAATTGTTTTCTTATTTTCTATTTCCGTTCTTAACTACACGAACTCGTCATCAGTATGCTTCTATTCGACATTGTGGTCGAGATGAAGAAAAATTCTCAAAAGCAATCATCAATTTGAAGTAAAAAAAACGTTTTTCCTTGCTATAAATATATGCGTATTATGGAACTGATTGTTGAACTACTTGCCGGCAGGCAATTGAACGATCGGCAATGTATATAGTAGAGAGTGAAAATTGAACGAGAATAATCAATCGATCGATAGTGCCGCTTATATTCTACTTACTGTTGTTACTCTTTTTTATTTCCGGTAAAGTGTCCGAGAAGATAAAGATCTAGGCCTCAAAAATGCCAAGTGCTCTTTAAGATTCTATTAAGAGAAATATATATAGGAAAAAAACAACATTTATTAGAGAGGCTCATTTTTTTTGTTATGTCGAAAATATGGAAGATAAAAAAGAATAATTCCAGCCATTTCATATTTAGCCGTTGCAGGTCAATGTCAAGAGATTGAATTATCTTATACTGTTGACGTTCTTCAATTCTATCACGTTTTTTCTCTTCTCCTCATTATTCTTTGCCTTGTTCGCGTGTCATCCGCTCTGAGGACGCTTTTGAAATGCACAAAAAAAGACGCGACAGTAAAGAATCATTGTTGTTTCTCTTTTTTTCTTGCAGTGTGTGTGCGCGTATGTGAAGCCCGTGCATGCTATTCTTGTCCTCGGACTTTTTTCTTCATCATTTAATTGCTTTGCTTTCTTTTCACATACCGCAATAAGAACAGCTGTAGACATACAACCACATGAAGTAAACGGATGATTAGAGTTCGAACTAAACATTAACAAGGTAGTAAGAGGCAAAGACAAAAGTTGTACTTGGAAAGAAGGTAAGCATGAGAAAGAAATGCATTTGATTTCACCGCAAGATATCTGAAATCTATTATAAACCTGACATATTTCAATGAGAAAGTTTAAATTGGAAAAAAAATTAAATTATTCACTAGGAAAAAAGGAAGAGTAAACGTTGTTACGTTGGTAAAGAAAATCTCTAAAAATACTTCTTTACACTTTGTCAAAATCAACGAAGAGAAAAGAAAAGCAGAAAGAAAAAAATGA